ATTCAGCAATTCGATAACATTGGTAGAAATTTTAGATAAATTTCAATCATTTTTAGCCTACTTAATAAATTTCAGTAGTAAAAAAGTATATTGAAATTGTGATGTTAAAAACCACATCCTCATATTCACTTAAACTTCAAAAGAAAAATTACATTTTATTAAAACTTTCGATACATAGTGTTATCTATTTTAAATAAATCCCTTACATTAAGAAATGTAAACTTTATACGTACAGGGGTATCAGTTATTTATAAACTTAATGGCGAAAATTTGATCATACCACACTATTCAACAAGTATTCATATTTTTTTGGAAAGATTACGTTTATATCTTCGTACGACTCAAATAATTGAATGTTGTCTAGTTCTAAACATGTTCTCTAAAGAATCTTCTTGAACAAAAAGATTTTACTAATATTTTAGGTTTAGAAATAGGTCATAAGTGAACACGGAGAACATATCTTTAACTAAAGTCAAACACCTTTTATTATTACATAGATGTAGGAAATGAAATAATTTAAAATTTGGTAGTTATTCTTTAATGAGCTCATATATTTTTAAAAAAATTAATTATTTAAGTACTGTTTTGCAGTATCTTCTATACATTTTTAATTAAAAGCATCCTTTTGATTAACTGTTTATTACTATATCTTTTATAGTTTGAAAATACCTGACAGTTGACCATAATTTTATTACATAGCTTGCATCGAACATAACCTAGTTATACATTTATCAAGGTTTTATGGTCTTCACCCTCACTTATGTGACCACACAAACTGTAAGTCAAAATCCTAAAAGGTATCTGTGACCAACTGTTTTTTCTTCTGCTGTTCTGATTGGAAGTTTGGGAATAAGGAAATTCTGTAACACATTGTGTAGAGTTAACATATAGTTGATAACATAGTCGTGGGGGGTTGATAATAAATTTCCTAAATAAATATCACTTTACGTGCAGACTAGTTCGTTCATTCTGAATTACTAAGTAATAATTATGTTTCACCAATAATATTATTTCTCTTTATTCCCTACTTGAAAATTGTAGTTATTGGTAAAGGATGTATATAGAGTAACTGGTTATTTAATAATGATGTGTAACCATAAAAATCGTTTGTAGATTTAAAATTCATTCGTTTATCCTTCAGTATGAGTCTTGGGGATGAATTTATCAATAACAAGTGAAGACAATAGAGAAAATCTAAATGAGGTTGGTTCGTCAGAAATTTGTTTCCTAACTTAAATACAAACACTAAGTTATGTTAGTATCAGAAGGGGTTTTGTGGAGATTGTAGTAATCTCAAATGTTGAGTTCATGTGTCAACTGAAGCTAGACGACCATGGGAAACCTGAAATCACTGGACGGCCGTTTCGTTCTATCGTGGGAACCCTCATCAGCGAGCACCCACAACCCCGCCTCGTGGGGTTCGAAACTAGCACTTATCAGTCTCCTTGGCGAGCGCTTAACCACTAGACCACTGAGCCGGCTTCCACCACTGTCAATATCTAACTTCAACTAGTCCACGAAATTGAGCGACATATCCACTATTTTTATCAGTCAGTTACTATCTCACAACAGACCGGTTGAACTCCATTGGTCACTGCTTCTCACTAGAACTCCAGGAAATACCTCTTGAAATCAGTCACCAGTGGGCAGGCGGGGTCGTGGATGCGCATTGCTGAGGGTTCTCACGATAGAACGAAACGGCCGTCCAGGGCTTCCAGGTTTTTCATGCTGGTCTAGCTTCAATTGACTCATGATCTCAACTATTGAAATTAAGTTATGTTTTTTTATTTATTTAGAATTTGATCTTACTCTAGCGTTAGTCTGGTATTCGATAAGAAAGGTCGATGAGTTTGTGCTTAGCTATAAGAACAGTCTGAAAAATTTAAAAATGGAGAATTAAATTCTTTGTTCTATAGATTACTTACTATCATTGTTGATAGGAATGGTATATAACTGAAGGATCAATATTTAACGTATCAGTCAATGTAGTAATCAATAATAATAGACACAACATGACATGGCTTGATAATTGTAACATAATAAACAGGTAAGTTTGATGGTTTATGGAAAAGTTTTGTTTGTAAGCCATATTAGAAGTGAGGTAATTAACTCAGTAAAGGGGTCAAATGATCATAGCACTAACGTGAGAATGTTCTAAATTCGGAAATTTCAAATCCAACCTAGTAGTTTAAAAAAGTATTGTGCTCATCATGAGACTTGAAGATTCTAGGTTCGATACCTGGAAAGGTTATCTAAAAATTAATAATCCAATTGAGATGATAACGAATATGGCTTTTTAGTTAATTGGTGATTCACCTTCTATGCACCATGCTCGGAAGTTTCTAATTTAATCTAACAATTGATTGAATAGAATTTAACATAACATAATTGAGATCAACGAAGAGGTTGAAATCAATGTTTTACTCCAGACAAAAGGAATCTGAAAAATATGATTGATTACATTCAATGATAGAATAGGTTAATTAGATGGAATTTTACACAGATTTTCTTATCATAAACTAATCGATTCAATTGTATGGATAAAAATACAGGTATTTCTCATTTATGATATAACTACGTGTTTTCAAGTTCATCATATGCAGAAAATATTTTAGAATACAGTCTGAAACTTTGATATTTGTTTTGTTTTATTGAACTCACTAAATAAAATTGTGAAATCGATAGCAATAATTAAGATTTTATACATTCAACTTATAAGACTAAGTAGGTGGTCTACTAAATAATTATGAGGACTTGGATTATAACAATTTTTTCTACAAACTTTAGGGTAAAATGAACTTATTTTCTTGAAAATACTTATAGCAACTATCCTACAATCAATTTGGATTATGATTGGATTTTTTTAAGCCATTTTATTAACTCACTTAACAGACAATGTTATTCGAACAGTAACAATTCATCTATTTTTTTGTACTATTATGATCACCATCTTGTCCGTATAAATGTGTACTCATGATCACATTCTGAGGACAGCCTATGAGTGAACTCAAGGAAGCTATAAGAAGCTCAGAAAGAGCCAAAGATATTCCATCCAATCATCTTTTGGAAGAAAATTCCAGAATCTCTATGTGTAGCTTCCTATTGGACAAATGCTAAGAACCCCTGTATGTGGATTGGATGACCATAATGATGATTTCGTTTTTACTAAAAACTATAATTACCTGAGAGTTTTGTACCATATTTGAAATTATTTGGAATAGCATTCCTTTCACTTGTCTTCCCTCTTCTCACTTGTGACTTGGAGCGTTCCAGTATTCGAGTGCTCAAATTGTACGCAGCATATCAAGAATCAAAGCTCTAGATCTAACACACATGACAGCCTACGCTTAAATGTTGATAGTTTGAATATAGCTCAATGAATCATTCTCTTCCCCATGTATATATGTACTCGAATTCTTTTGACTGCCTTTGCTTTACCTTGCTATGCCCTTATTCAATTTGACTACAAATTTGCCTCTGTATTTGCTCGCATACATATATTCACGTAGCTGGTTCAAACTCGCTCGATGCACTTGTAGCTAATAAATTGTAGTTACTGCTTCTTATTGCCTTCTGATTTCGAACATTGTTGGGATTTATATGATAACGGTTATCAAGATGATTGATTAACGAAGTGAAGCCACTGCATGCTCCATATTTGTGTCCCATTTCTGTTTCCATTGTTCGAAACATGTCTGGAAATCTTTAGAATTCAGGCTCTTCAGTTGCTTGGTCTTCGATTTTCGTACATACATTTCTTAACCACAAATGATTTGCCAAAATCATCTACACAGATTTCCTAATATTACATTTTTCAATAATTATCTGGACTTTGATTAGGCGATCTGAAGTTACAATGTGTTTTCGTACTTGAAGGAATTCCCCAGCAAGCCCTAGAGAGATTTGGTTCTGGTTGATGCTCTTCGACGAGCTTTTCACTCAGTCTTTAAGAAACCGATGTTCTACTTGAGATTCCAATAAGGATCGTCTAATTTTATGAACAGAAATGCTATTTCAGAAGAAAAGTTTAAAATGGAGAGTAGAGGGAGTATAAATCCTATTAAGTTTGTAGAAACGCTTTAGTAATAAATCCTACATAGAATGAAACCTAAATCCAATGTTTTACTCAAATTACATTGAACATGTATAACACCAAATAAAGAATTGTCATGATGTCTAACCAGTTAACACTACGGACCGACTGAAACTTGATCAACATAGACCAACCAACAGTAATAGCTCTTCCCAATCATCGTCTACATGTTGTCATCTTCTGACATTTGTGCATCTCAGTGATTTACGTGGTGCTTAGTGCAATCGATTTATTATTGTCCCTTTAATCCATGCTATCATTATAAGAACCTGCACTATGTTTGTCAAATTGTGTTATATCAACTTGTATCTCCAACCAATTAGATAGTTTTCTCTACGGATTAGTAAACCAATCTTTTGATAGTTTAATTGAAGGGGTTTTTGTAGAGATTGGATTAATTTAAAGGAGTCTCATGTTAAAATGAAACGGTTGTCTAGTGCTTTCTGCTCTTCAATGATACCTTCGCCTAAAATCAATCTGTGGCAAATACAAACTACAACACAGGAATCTCTTAGTAGTTTTCAAAAATCCTGTCGATACAAAGTGAATTTATTTATTACTTGTCCTTCTCGAGTTAGCGACAAGACATTATCAGTGAGCTTGTAGTGTGTTGTGCGCTACTGATATCGACCGATATAAGTAGTATGTATCACCAATCGAAAGTGAAATACCTTGAGGAACAAGGTTAGGAAGATCGAAGAAAAGAAAACGAGAACAGAGAATGATTGGTATGGAAGCAAAGGAACAATGAATTCTGAAACGATCAACTGATATTTTGCAAATGAAGTATTTACTTCATGGTTCTCAGATTTTACTAAGTGATTCTGTAATTGTGTATTTAAATACATTCGATTGTCCCCACTTGTGTTCTCGTTCACTACAGTAGTTACAAAAGAAGAAATTAAGTCAATCCAAATCAAGAAAATTTTGTACACATATAATCAAGGTGTTTAGACAGAAAATGAGTGCGTATATACACACAAATATACATTCTACTAAGCAAATAAATGAGTTCAATGAAATAATAATTTTTTTTGAAAAGAAATAACACTCGAGTGTTTTCGTTCAGAGTCAATCATTAAAACAGTTTCATTTCTTCAGTAATAGATGGTTGGATATATAAATAGAAAACGATTAAAGTAGCTAGAAAAGTTTACATAAATCTTGCTAATTTCATGAAAAGATTGTTATGATAAATTTAAATTCATTTAAGATTGAAATGGAACTACAAAATCTGTCAGATTGTATAATGATAATAAACACTGTAATTAATAAACTAATAAATTTGAATGAATTATTAATCATGAAAGGACTTATAATCATTATGTGAAAAGATAGTACACGAGAAAATGTAACGTCATCATTGCAACTCTCTCTTTTTTTGATTTCATTTTTCAATATTTGTCGTTGTCATAATCACAGGAAGTACACAGGGTCAAATACAGCAAATGATTAATTGATCGATTGTATACATTCAGTGAAGGTCTAACGGAGGTTATTCCAATCCACGTGGTTTAAATCTAGGATCAAGTAAATTATAAATCATGGTGATTAGTTTTCAACATACAACGCTTCTTTGAATGTTTTATACATCGAAGCTTCATTTTGTTCGAACACAGTGATAATAATAACAATAATAATAATAATAATAATAATAATAATAATAATATAGTTCAACAATCGACTATTAAGTCGTGGTCGAATTTACTCTTTTATAAGAATGAAATTTGCCCCACTTACCTAACTTAACGAGTCTGTTTTCGTCGGTACCTGGATAGTACTTACAGGTTATGTATATTATACATAATGAAGGTCTTAAAATATTATATTAGCCACAAATTATACAGCTGGATAGTTGTGAAAGTTCCATAGTTTATTTAACTTCGTTTTTATTGTAAACTCTCTAGCTATTGAACAGAAATATCTTTACATTCACACTAAATAATGATCTTTGAAACTATGGAACTTAATATCAGCTAGAACATTTATATTGTTAACTTTCCTTTCCAGTTACAGATACCGTTACCTACATGATTCTCTGACTACATTTATGACAATATACGAATTAAATGTAGTTAAACAACTTAATAGTGGATATGAGTCAGTCGACGAAACACCTTGGATCCAGTGGTGAGTTTGAAGCTTCTATGAAGTAATGAAATGTTAGAAATTCACTTTTCTATTCACTATATCTGTGACTCATTCTTTTAGCTCAATAATCTTAACCCAAAGATCATGACATCCAGTGATAGTTGCTGGTTAAAAACACTTTTGGTAGGGTAGCTTGGCTCATTGGTCTCGATTCAAATCCACTGGTCTAATGAGTATACACATGAATATTTCATGAGTGAAGAAATACCAAAATATTATCAAAAACAGTATTAAAAGTTCTACACTAATGTGCAAATACAAACATAAAAGAATTAGTCTTTGTAATATACATGGATAGTAATGAACTAAATTAAAGATGTGCATAAACACCAATAATTGTGTATCAGACCAAGTTGTAAAAAGTGGTGAGCTTTGAAAATTATGTCTAAGAAGGTTAATTATATGCAAAAAAATAAAATCTATATTATATTAACAATTTATAATGCATAGAATAAAACTGATGATAATATTTAATTAGGGTTTTAGTTTCATGCTTGAACATTCATTTATATATAGTATTAGATAATAATCAATAAAGTTAAAATTCACTCAGAGTTTCTTTCTTGATTATGTCATCATTAATATTGGCAATTGCAGACGTATGAACTTAATCATGTGTTCGATTGTCGTGGAACAAAATAAACTAAAATAAAACCACTAGTTTCATCCCCCTCCCAATTCTCTTTAATGAAGTTTCTATAGTGAAGAAGCATTGCTGAAGTATAATTAAAAGTCGTAAATTATTAAGTGTCAATATCTAATCTGGGATTATTATAGTTAATCATCTTTTGATTGACTTGTTTAAGTGTGATTATTAAGAATTTTTAAACAAGTATAAGTACTTTTTAAGTCTCAGTTTTACCTAGGTTCTAGTCTCCAAGACAACTGTATTTTAAATAGTTGAATCCATGAGTCTGTCTAAGTTGGACCATCACTGAAATCTTGAAAGCACTGGAAGACTTTTGTCCTAGTATGGGACTCTGCAGTGGTGCGCATCCACAATCCCAAACGTGGAACTCCAACACAGGACTTCCGGTCTCACATGGGAACATCTAACCTCTAGATCACTGGGTCGACATCCAACAATGTGAATGTCTGACTTCAATCGATCCATGATCTTGCAAAACCCCCACCCATTGTCTGAAGTGGATAATCGTCCCCACTAGATACAGATTGAACCTCACTGGGGATTTGAAACATCCTACATGACTTATTTTTACAATTTAACCATCATATTACCAAGTACTGTTCTAACAATTTTTGTAACTAATCAATAATCAGAGTAAAAATAATCCGTACTAAATTTATAAATGATCCACTGGTCTAATACTACTTAACGAATATAATTTAATCTGCTAAAAATGAGTATTTTGATGTCTACAGTGTATAAATATAAAGGCTAATAGCATGTCAGATCTACTTTAAATCACGTTAATTGATTTTTGTTTTGAAAAAATAGAAAATAATTTATTATATGGTATTGAACTGAGTGCTGAAAGATTCTAGTGTTCTATACCTTCAGCGTAGTTTCACCCCCCTTGTATTCTGGATGCCCTTCACTAATGCTGCAGTTAGAGATGGTTTTTCCACATTGGTTCTAATCTAGTACTTGTTTTCCTTCCTCTATAAGCATTATAAATATATTAGTAATCTTAAGTTGTTCGTGTCGTCAATCATTCTTTTATTCGAGAATTAAAATTCGAATGATACACGTGAATACAAAGAGAACTTTCCAAGAGCAGAAAGTAATATATTTGAAAAGTCTTAGTGGATCATACATTGCTGCAAGGCCACACGATAGTTGGGAGATTTATGTGTAAGTGGTCAATTTACAACCAAGCGAGAGTTATCGTTCATATGCCCCTATCTGGATCTATTATGCAATATATACACATGAATTGGGTACCTTATTATTTAAATTTCTCAAGAAAACCTCTCATGAAGTTTCTGTCTTCTTTCATTCTATAGCATGGTGGTTAAGCATTAGAAGTATGGATCAATAACTCTAACATTTAACCCATCTTTTTTGTAATCCTTTATGACGATATAAATAACTCTTAGACGTTAATATATGGATACGATATTTCAACTCTGTTGTCGTTACATAGAATAATATTACCAAAAATAAGGAAAATAATTAATGCACGTTACTGTATGATTTAATTTAGACTCATTTAATTATATACTTAAATTTTATGTACTAAAAAACAACTAGGTAAATTTCAACCAATGATCACTTATCCTCAATACATGCAGAGAAAGTCCATTTAGAATTGATTTTGCTCATAGTTAACAAACTGGGTGTTGCAAAACATCAATGAATTCCATCATGTTAAGAAAGATCATTTTATACTAACTTCCAGCTATATATTAGAGAGAAGAGAAACGGTGTAGAAGGGGACTTAATGGTTAGTGTCATAACTTGTGGCCTTATGCCCTATATATATAACGTAATGATATCGCCAGTTAGAGAATAGTGATTTATCGAACGGACCAATGACGCGTAAACCAGTACGGGACGTCTGGATTCCCTATCGCTCCTTCTGTCTAGCCCTGCCTGTTGAGTCCAGAACACCAATCTCAGCCTCCGCGATATGAATAATTTGTTTCAAACATACTAGGTTTATAGACAAACCAAACAGACCACATCGCACAACAAAATAGGAAACATCATTTGTACAAGATCTAACCAAAAGTAGCTGTGAATGTAGGAGACTGTAATTAATAGAATGGGCATAACTCAAGAACGGTAAATTGTATAATAATAGTCTATGGGTCAAAATAAAGCTTATAATAAGAGGAACATAAATATGCATAGTTTAGCTACTTAATAACTATAAAATAAAAAATATATGTATAGTATTAATCTACAAATCGACCCCAACAGTTAGCATTCATTATTCTCGTCGGGATATATCATTTAGAGATTACAACTTTCAATCACTAGGTTTCGGGCACGCGTCCTTCTAATACATTGGTTTGCCGGGAAATATCACTAACCGGCACACATAAAGTTTTTCTCAAAGACGAGGAACATTAATCTGTACCTGGCAAACGAGTTACATTATCATCATTATGTATTAAATAAATGGAAAACTTTTGCGAAACAGTAATAACAGATAAAAGTAAACTCTATTGTTGATTGAGTACTAACGTTTACACGTTAAATAATTATTCAATATAATTTTTATTTAGTGTATTGTTTGATTGGATGTTAGAAAATGCTATGAAATGGGCTCAAATGAAAACTTGATTATTGGGATGGTGGTTTTTAGAATTTGTTCAGTTTGATAGCTTACAAAAATGAATTGATTTGACAATCAACTCTTAGTTGTAATGTTTTCCTTTATAACTAATAATAGTGACCACCTTATTCAACACTATATATTTTGTATAGTATAAAACCTTATCACAATGATAATAAATACATCCCTTTGATGAACAGTGTTAAGGAATAATATTCTAATCAATGGTTTCAGGCTGTGAATATTAAACATTATTGATAATTCATATACCTAATCAATGTATAAATACGTTAAAACATCTTACCTTTAAAGCGAAAAAATAAACGGTTAAATAGAATGTTTTATTTGTATCTCTAAATGCAATTACATGTAACTGGAAATATTTGGAAAATCGCATGCTTTAATAAATTCATCATGAAATTAGTTTATATTCAATCTCATTTTAAGCATTTTTTCCAAAGAAATAAATGGCTGTAGACTGAACAGATAAAATGATGTAAAAAAGCGTTCTAAAGTGAAGTCTTATGACCTACTTTTTGCTAACAGATATTTCCCTATTCGGGTCTACAAAAATTAGTAATGTACATTGCACATATATGTGTGTGTGTGGCACAACAAGAGTGTTACCATAACGACCGTATTGTAAATGCATTCATCATTTTAAATAGAGTTAAAAATCAAACAAGCTAACTAGTAAATAATTTATAATTTAACACAGAATTTAATTAATATTTTATACACTAGGTAAATGTTTCAATAAAATGGTTCGATATTTTGGCATTGATAATCATATGATTAGGTAGTGAATGAGTATATTTCAGTCTTTTGAACTATCAATTTAAGATAGTGTTATATGCCGAAAAAACGTTTGACTTATGAAAATGTCTGGATGATTCGAACACATATTAGTTGGAGGCAGGTGATAACAATTGGGCTGTGATCAATCTGTTGTGGAAGTAGATTAGTTGCATAAATTTGTGGGGAACCTGATGTAAATTTCGAGGCCTCATTTTTTAAAAATGTACTTGTTGTCAGAAACAAACTATCTCTTCTAATTTTGTGTACTTGTGCACTCACAAAATATGTACAATATCTGGCGAACTTAGTTTCTGAGAAACGCAATCGGTCTCATTTCAGTGGTTAGCCTATTTTCATTTTCTTTATCCTTTGGATATACTAAAAGGGATTACTATAGAATTCATACATCAAACCTAATAAAGAATAGAAAGAGATAATACGGAGGCAAGATCGATTGTAAACATTTACCAATGAGTGTGAATGGTATCTAATTACAAATAAAATCTCTTATATATATTACTTGGATATTTACAATTTACATGGTTACAATAGAGAATTCTATTTCAACACTACATATTTTGTACAGGGGCTTCTTCATTGCATCCAGTAAAACCAGTATTATTATTCGATAGAACTTGGTGTCGTAACATGTAGTTGACTGAGGTCGCTAATTAGAGAGTAATCCCATGAAACCTCTGAATGATATATAGTTCTCAGTGAGACTCGTCAGTTGGCCTACGCAGTTAGTGGGGGACGTCTCAAAACGAAGTTTCGAGTCAGACACGTTAGGATGTTCGCAAGAACAGAATTTTCTGATAGCTGTCAGTACATACTGCTTTTGAGACATCATAAGCACGAAATGTAAGTTCAAAGCTTCATACTGTCCGTCTAGCAGAAAATTTGATGTATAGTAATGCTGATTTATTTATTTCTTTTGCTAGACTGATGATGAAATTCAAGCCGCTTTATGCAAGCTATATGAGCTCTTGGCTTCGTTATCAAATATGAATTATTTAAAGCGAAGTTTTGAACAAAATATCGATAATATCAGGCTTGATTTCGGTATCACGTTACTTAAATTTATGTCGTTATGGGCAACGTTGAGTAGTTTTTGACATGGTAAGCTAGTTGTGATAAAGAGGTATATAGACAAAGTTTATTGTAAAGTGCTTCAAATACAGTAACTATTTTACATAGTTTTGGAGAGATTGCTTTTAACATAATCGAAAATCATCCCTCTATTGATCATAAATTAGTCTTAAATTATTCGAAAATCCAAATCTTAGGAAATCGATTATTCAAACTGGTAACAGGTATTTTAGAAGGATATTGATTAGCATTGAAGCTTATTTAGTGAAATAATTTGTTATTCAATGTTTACTGAGTTTTGCTTTTAAACTGTGATCAACTTATATTAATCAAAATAGTTCCTCGTTGTGCACCTATATCTTTTCTTATTTGTTTAGTGTGCACGGATGAAGAAGTATTATTTCAGGTGTCAAATCTAGAATAAGGAGGGATATTTGAGTAAATGGGGATAAAGTCTTGCCGAAATGAACTTTTCACATTTTTTAATATATGTAAATAGTGGTAGGACTGACAACTCTGGTACTGAGTGATGCAATTTAAATTTTTTCAGTTTACACACACACTTTGGTAAATGAGTGCTAATAAGCACATAAACACATTTCAGAGCTTCTTGCAGATTCACTTTGATTGTTTAATATTTTGTGCGAACCTTCTAACAAAAATGATAGATGGGTATAAGTGAACTAAATGGATTCATGAAATTCAGCAAATCATATCCATTGAATACAATCGATACACGAAGATGTGTATAAAATTTCAAAAGATGGTGGTTATTTCGTATAGAGTATCCAACCTTTATTGTATGTGAATGTTGATCCTGACGTCTGATATATATCTGAAATATTTGATAGACGAATTATACTAAAATTAATGGATTATCTGAGTTTCACTTTCTTCATTCTCTGATGATTGCTTTAAATGGGAATTAGATAAATTAGTGCTTCAACCCATTTCACAATGGAATGAAGGATACAACGAATAGTTGTGACTGAGAGATATTTGAGAGTTGCAGAGTAATGCGAAACAGTTGATAAATGCTATAACTTCGAAATTTTTTACTTGGTATCGGTTCGTGATACAAGTTATCTTAAGGCTGAACAGTCGTTCACACAAAGTGCCTGATTAAATGGTTCATTATCCGAAGTTAATTTGGTCATCTAGTATCTCATTGGTCAAACTTTAAGTGGAAAAAAACTTTAGTTTATACCAAGGTGTGGCTTTAGTTCGACAACCATTGAAAACCCGTAGCTATTGGACAGTTAAGAATCCTAGTATGGGGCTCCATATCAGTTTACATCTACAATCCCATTAGGAATCGAACCCAGTAGCTGCAGGCCCAACGGTGAGCGCCCAATCGTCTAAACCATTAGTTTGCATTTCTAGCAGTTAGTGTAGTTAATGACTATATCACAGACCAGTCAGGTCGTATTTCTTCAGATTAGTATAACGGGATTACATTATATTCTAAAATTTAAGTAATTTCAACCAGATAGATTTTTTTTGCAGGCCATGATTTCATATTTCAGCTTTAGGAAATCCATTACAAACTCAATCCCTATCGGAGAGACGAATATTATTTTGTGTAGATTTTGAAAATTCAAAAGCACTTTTTTTACTGGTTGACATCATCTAGAGGATCACTGAAATACAATTTGTATCGTAGTTTGGGACATTCTAGCAGTTCACACTTTCTACCCTGAGTTATTGTCCACCAATATTTCACATATAATATTCCACATATAATATAGATTAGGATGTAATATGACTACAACTCTGATCACATATTGATCAGAATAAACTTATTTTAAACTGTGATCCGATGGTGACTATTCATGAAATCCAAATAAATTATCATTAAAGAAAATAAAAACCAAACTTACAAAAAACTATCTTTGAAATTCTCATTCTTAAGCAACGAAACAACAATCATCCAATGTGGTCTACAACTTTGCTCGCTCAATAATTCTAGCTGGATGATTACCAGATCGTTTGTGATTTGGAGAATCTGTAGGAGTTTGACAGAGATTTACCGTTGACGAAGTTACGTGTAGTCCTTTATTATGTCTTTTAAATCCTGGATAAAGTGGATTACGATAATCAATAACTTTTCGAATTGATTGCCCTGATCGATTTTGTGAAACAGGACTATAATAACAAGTTTTGGATGTTTTATTGACAAAATCAGGGGATTGTACTTGTTCACAAGATAAATAATGTAAACTTGAATTGTTTTTAGTACTGTTAGTATTTTTTTGCAGTTGATGAATCGGTAAATAATAATTGGTTTGACTAGTTGGCACTTTTATTCCATTTGACTGAATCTGATGATTAGGTTTATGATTATTCAATTCTACATCGACTAAAGTTTTTTGTGGTGTACTTCGAATATTATGCGTACTATGAGAAGATTGTAAAACCTATATTATGATTAAAAAAGGATAGATAGTTGTGTTAATGTAAGATCGGAGCATATAAAAAATATGAAGTTCAGTAGGAATTGATTAATATGTACATGGTTTTATTCATGGTCTAAAGTTATTTGATAAAGTATTCAAAACAGGCGAGTACAGAATGACTCTAATCTTAATTTTAACATAATATCATTACCAAATACAATTTTATGAATGTGGCTATAAAATCTACTTTTATAGTTGAAATTTAATCTACAGTTTGAACTTTATACAAGAGTAAGTAGATTAATTAACCAATGGTTCATACATTGTTAATTTGAGTCATTTCACTAAAAGGCTTTTTTTAAAACTTCACAAATTACGACTATTCTCAATCTTTTCAATAATAAATTACTCAATAAACAGATAAAATAATAATAACAATAACTCATCCAATTGTAGTCTACCTTTTTAACAGGCATAGTATCACTACCGTTATTCTCTGCAGATTCACGTTGTCCAATTAAATTTACCGAACATAAAGAATGAGTTGATGACCAAGAAGAAAAAGATGATAATGTCGGACTTCGATATGATTTTGTCAAATGTAACAATGAATTCTGACTTCCATTTAATTGTTTTGGTGCTGGTTGAAATTTATTCCCATTCAAAAATGATTTTTTTGCATTAAATGATAATTCTTGATATTGGTGACAATTAGATTTTAAGTTATGAGATGAATCCGATGAAAGTTGATAATGCCATGGAGAACCATGATAGGAGTTCATTTCTGATGATTGATCACTGCCACGGTAAATATCTTGTGTATAATTCCCGTTTAGTAGTGATTGGTTGTTTGGACTAGTGTCTAAACCAATATTATTACTATTACTACCATTTTTATTATAACCATCAAATGTATCATGATTGATTATCTGTGTTCCTATATCACTAAAACTCTTAGATGTCGTTGAAACAGCTGTATTATATGACTGAGACTCTTCCATATCTAACAAAGAGGATGGCACCGGTGATGATGAAGATTTTGTCGTAGTTGTATAATTACTGAAATAAAATATTTATTTTAAAAATAAACAGAATGTAATTTTTTTCATATAGAAAGAAAATATTAGCGTATAAATATATGATAAACATACTAACTGGAAAAGACCCAAAGTTGGACATACATTAACAGTGAACTTGGTTCAGCTAATCAACAATGATAATACAAGTAAACTTTATTGATTCTTAGTACAGAGAATTATGGAGATTGTTAATTTTATAGTTTTACATCACAGACTGACTTCAGTTCAACAAATATTGAAAACTAGGGAGTACTGAACAGTTGATCTATCCCATAATGACTTAGTGGAGCAGTGAGATTGTCTCGGTTCTAAGAGGACGATGGATTTGTTGATCAACTTTATTGTCAAAGAATAAAGTGAATCTTACGGAAATGACTTCAGATGAGGTAGAATGGACATTTAAGGTCTCAGTGTTAGTTAATTATACAACTGAAATCGTTATGCATAATATGCAGTTACTTACCAAAATAATAATTAGTTATTTGAAAGCGTAAGGGAAAAATGTGTAGCTAATTAGTGAATTCAGCATTTTCTGACTAAAGATTAAAGCACATTATTAGTAAATTTTGGGTGTAACAGAATTTGGTGGACAAGTTATTAAGAACTAATCTATTCAGTTAAAGCGATTCTTTAATAAAATCAATAGTTGAAATATAAAAAGAAATTAATAGAATAGTTGAAAATTCGATTCAGGTATGTTTTAATTTCATAATCATTTCTGAAAGTTTGTATATAATTGCAAGATTACAAGAACGTCTATGAAACTGAATTCTTGATGAAGCCATGTTTTAAATTCATTGACATGATATACCTTAACATATAACATGATAAACAGAGAATAATACAATTTAAAAGCCCCGTTTGAAGTGAAAAACAATGTTTTAAATTTCTAGCTGGTTTTATTGAAAATGTTTAAAGATCCTATGCATATTTGTTAGTTCTTGCATATAAATTTCGACATCTAAGAGTTGACAGATTTCATTTGAATATCAAATTGAACCTATCGGCTTCATCTTTTGTAGTAAGATAGATATTTCAAAAAGGAAAACCGATTTCAACTGTTGGCATTAATAACCTTATTCCATTTATAGTAAAGCACTACTTAACTTAATATTTTAGTACAAATTGGACAACGTCTAGTTGACTATCTGGTCATTAGGAAAAAGTCATGTAATTATCTATGAACATATCCATACATTTGAATTTGTGACCATGTTGCTTTCTTTGTTATGGCTATTAACTAGATAAACACAAATTAATGAAACTTTCCATATAATACATCTACTCAAATAGTTACAGTTCCAAATTAGGAGATATCAGCTAAAATGAGAAACAAATATTCAAGTTAACAAAAGGTAGAATGTAATGTAAGATAACAAAGAATAAACATTTAAAATTTTTATTATTTTCGTACTGTAAGGATAATTATTGAATGCTTCTGAACTATTGCTATCGATTTTCACTCAATTGAAGTCGCTAATGATTCGGTAACTTAAGAAATCCAGGTAACATTCAGAAGATGAAATTTATCTCACAATCTGATCACATTTTGACATATTAAGATATTTACATATGAGAAATAAAAAGGTCAAACTACATATAGAGTGTATTGCACTAAAATACCACACAATGCTCTAATAAATTATCATTCATATTATCTGAAATTTACCAAAGAGGTTAACTGTTCTAAACTTTGGAAATATTTACAAGCACATTAATCCCATACAGTTTTCAAGTGACACCATGATTGATTTTTAAAATGAATCAACAAGAATAATTACTTATTAACTTTTCTGCCTTGACTGTAGTGTACATACTTATCAATTAACAAATAATGAACAAGGATTTCACTAAATCATACACTAATTGAAGTTAAAATTGTAAACTTTTTGATTTCAACACAACGATTCAGTGGTATTGTGGTCGTATCTAAGCTTAACAATCCTGAGTTCGACCCACTATATCGTCAGGGAGTTCATCGATTTCTAGTTTTCAATGCCTCTTCAAGTGACGTCATTTGATGAAAATTAATGTATCATATTGTATATATGTACTATCTTTGTTATTGTTACTATTTCTACTCAAAAATTCGTCTTTATAGCTTCATCTCACTCACTGATATATTTTGACCACTTAAACCGATACACGTACATGCCATGTTCTAAGGTGTTTACAACTAACTACACAAAGAATATTATGAAATTATTCGTTTAAGTCCAACCCCAATAAACACCATTTGTATCATAAATAATTTGGAAACAGAAATTAATATATATATATATATATATATATATATATATATATATATATATATATATATATGGAGAAAAAAAACACCAAATTTTAACACTTTTCACTAAACACTTAAACTGGAAAACTAATAAAATCCATGGAACAATAAACTTTTATTGAGTCCAATTTTTGGAACTAATATACTCAACACCAATTACCTAAACTGTTTAAGCCTTGATTATTAAATCAACTAAACCACTGTAAATCATGCATGTGTGTTAAAATTCAATGTTTGATGATTACTTGAATCATAGTGGGTATTTTATAGTTTTATTACGAAGCCACGATTTTTATTGAGTACAAGAAATCGATAGTGATGATATATGTTCATCGATTACGCTGAGTTATGAACTACGTGACATTGAAAATGAACTAAATTTAGAGTAATCCCTAATCAGTTGGTATTAGTTTAAAATTCCATCATGCACAGGATTAAATGTTAATAATACTAAGGAGAAACAAATTAGTAACCTTTAGTTTTCACTAATTTAGCTAAAATCCATACTCAAATCTCTGCAAACTATTGAAATTAATAAAATTCCCTACAGTTATAAGTTAATAGTACATCAATTCGCTAAGAGTAATGATTTCTGGATAATGTTGAACAATCTTTGATATTGTATAGATTGAAATAACAATATTTTAGATAAAGAACGAGGTGTATATATATATATATATATATTATCTATAATTAAATAAGGATAATTATTTTAATTAAATCTGCTTAGTTAACTTTCAAATAGTAGTAATTGAAAAGTTCTCCAATCATTTGGCTTATGTTTTAAAAGCTTCATAATGATGCGTTAATCTGTGTTTTAAATAGTGAGAAAACAGCTTGTTTATTTAGAATATATTCGTTCACAGAAAGTTGTTAACAAAAAAAGATTGAACAATCGTAAGTAACAAACAATTCTAAACCTAATTTATTTGAGATATTTGATCTGATTAAAACAATGTCACACTATGAAATAATTGAATCAATAACTGCAAAGAGTATAATCAGTACACCTATAGATCAATCAATTTCCGTGACAATTTTTAGTTTAGAAAACTGAAAAGAATTATTACATAATTAGATTTATTCACAATTGATCGTTTGTTTGATGATATGTCTGTGTTTAGTGTGTTTGTGATTAAAATTCTGTATTTCTTTAGTTACATGAACATTATGAATTTCGAATGGGTACTTAAAAAGAGTAAATGACGTGAAAAGTTGATATTCCGATTTATATAAATCAGCATGAAATTTATATGGGATAGATCTACATTTATTACAACATCAGTTCATGACTTACAAGTTGTAGAATATTTAATATATCATTTTAAAGTGATTTCTTTTATAAGAAATACTCTGTTAAAGCTCTCCTATTAATAATATTGTTATATCATGACTAGCGGTGAGATTGAGAAAAAGAGTTTCATCCTGTATGAGATTTCCTCAGATGGATGTATCTACACCCATATTAATGTTTACACACTCTAATTACGTCTAAATACATAATTAAACGACTTTTTCTAACGTACGATCTAAGATAATAGACAGGACTCATTATAGTTGAGTTTTCATGTTTGCTAATAGTATTCCGAAAGCCTTTTTGTTGTTAAAAGCATCACCGTTAAGGAGACCAACACTCCACTATCCATGTCATAGTTGACAAATAGCCTAGATTCAGGCATTATGTAATGGTACAATCAAGAGAACTAAATGATATTGAATGACACAAATAATTAATATATTTTTGTACTTATTGGTAAGTAGAAGATAAGATTTCATTGATACTTATTAAGTGATTCATTGATATAAATCACCTAAATATCAATATAATTGAATTTATTACTCAACGATAGATTTTTCAACCTGGATACCATTGGTAATAATATGTAGTGTGTAGATAATTCGTGAATGTTTGTAACGGATGTTTTACATCCTAAATGCAAAATATTACATTCTAGTTCCTCTGTATAACTACCTAAGTTAACTACAGAAAATAAAGTAGTTGAGAGCGTTGATCAGAATAGTTATATTGATAGTAACATTAGTAATGATAGACCAATTGCTGAAATGATTGATAGAATGTAAAACGACTCATTTTAATTTTATGAAGTTATGCTACCTGTTGATTTCCATCAATCAGTCAAAGGGAGAATACCTGTACTGTATAACTTTACGAGTGGTTACACATTTTGTTTCTGACAATTAGGTTGTCATCATGCTATTCCGTATATAGATAATGTCTATAATCTCCTTATATTTATTAACACAATCAGTAAGTTTATGGTTCCACTATTCAGTCTACTAGTCGGCTCTGTCGTTAATTTATTAATTAAACCAAGTCAGCCACTCCGGAATTTTACAAAATCAATTGAATGATCAAGTTCGTATTTCTTCCCCCCACCTAAAAAATTGAGCAATCAATTATTGAACACAGGAATAACTTGGGGTTGCCTTTATGTGTATCATTTTATAATCGAATAGATAGATAGACAGTAAGTAAATATGCCATTAGTGTCTATCCATTGATTTGAAAAAGAAAGGTGATGAATAGATAAAAAAACTTAATTTCAAATTGATGAACTAGAAAAGGGTTTTTAGTGGAGTTGAGTAGTTTTGCCTTTATCAAATGAGTGTATGTAAACCGTCAATTCATTTGATTCTACGCTCATTTTCAAAGTCTAATAATCGAGTTTTGATTCATAGTAAATGTCATCGGTACTCACCAACTAATCTGTAGAAAAGGGCACAATTTTAAAATACATGTATCTGAAGTTGAGAGTGTGAATTACTGGGTGTCAATTTTGAGGTTTGAGGGACGTCTTCTTACCGTGAGGATTGAATATTATCAGTTCGATCCCTACCCAAGTAGACGTTGCTCACTGTTGAGAAACTCAATACTAGGAAGAAACAGCTTTCATGTACATATTCGTTATTAATGTTTATCCAACCGAAGTGGGTTCATAATATCAACTGAAAACTCAAAGAGAGGTAAAATTGTGCTAAATTATTTGAAGACATTAGGTTCTGAATTGAACAAAGTTTTGACTGTTACAAATTTGAAACAAGCATCCTACCTTAGTAAACGATGGAGACATAAATTTAAACTTTAATTCCAGTCTGTTTTTTCAGTACAGCTAGTCCGATTAAATACTTTGTATCTAAAATAAATTCAGATAAATTTAATAGTAATCATGTCTCCATTAGCCTTGAAACGAATATCCTGAAAAGTAGTTTTTTGTAGCAATAATCAAGTGGAGTGTGAGATAGTAACTCATTGATGAAAGTAGATAAGGACATGCTATGGTGTGAATTGAGGGATATTTTAAATATAAACTTTCGAGTTTCGGTTGAGTGGTTAATTGACATCATGCTGGCCAAGAAAAAACATGAAGGCAATGGCCTCGAGCTCGTAAGGATTCATATATGTACATAATATCGAGGAGTTCCTAATCAAAGTAAAGTTATTCATTGCTCCCTAATCTCTCATAGGTTCTCCAAGGACACCATTTTATAGTGAAAATTATCTTATTCAAACTTTAGAATGTTATTATACACTAATCTCTTTCAACCTTAATACTTGAATATTCTCTTAGATATGGACTTTTGTTTAACATTTACAAACTAACTAGATAAACCGACTTCCTTTCAGAATTCATATCAAAATTAATTAAACTGTTTACCTTTATTTAATGTACAATATGATTCATCCTCTATATCTCTCTTGTTTTATTAATTGGATGAGACTAGCCTAGAATGACTAGTCATACCAATATTATGTATGATGATATTTAAGTGAAACAAATCTTAACAATGTCGTAGAAAAAAATACTTATGTATGTCAATAATAATTTTCATACTGAAACTCATAATGAAACAGTAATAGAAATTGTGGACTAGACTAAGGAAGAAATCAAAAAAAAATTATTGTTAAAGTTGTGTAAATATGAATGTGTGTACTTTTGTTCTTTTAACGTTTTCATCAGACAGGCGTTGACATTAACATGTTTATCATACTATACCTTCAATCATGAATAACTAAGACGTTTTAATTTTCAATTGTTCTGATTAAAGATTTATATTAGAGAAAAAAAAGTAATTTTGCAAAAACGAAGATATTACCAAGTTATTTTTATGTATACATGTATGTATGTATGTATGTATGTATGTATACATGGTCGATAGCATTCGATCTGCACTAAATAAGGACTTGACACACATGACATTGATCACCACCCAGTGATCAATCAATTGTGATTACATCTCAGTCCTACAGGAGGTCAGTCGTGGCCAGGATAGCTCAGTGATAATGTCTCTGACTGTGAAGCTGGGTGACACGGGATCGAATCCGCCAGAGAGCACCAGTTCCCTCAAGATTACAGGTACACCTTGCTGACGAGTGCCAAGTAGCACGAAACCCGGATCCAGGGTTTCTTATCGACTACCTCCAACTACCATCTAACCTCAATATATAGTGCCCGCAGTGTCGAGTCACCGAGACTGGTGGCCACATTGCAGCATGGTCGATACCATTCGATCTGCACTAATAAGGACTTGACATATATGACATTGATCACCATCCAGTGATCAATCAATTGTGTATGTATACACTACTAGTTTGTTAGTCAGACTACTATTAAATAAATGATCAGTAACTTACATGTTGGTCAGATAATTAAAAAAAAACAAAGAAAACCTATAATATACATAATCAGTAAATATCGTAAATCAATCAACTACATTATTAAATCATAACTTTTAGCCAAAATAACAAGAACAAACTATACAATAGTGCAGACTGGTTGTAAAAATGAAATCATTCCAATTCATTTTGCTTTGCTAGACTGAAATAAATGAATTCAGATGGTTTAATTTTTAAGAAGATAAAATTGATTTGTTCATATGAATAGTGACAGTAATAAGCAATTCAGTTTATAAATATTTTCAATGACTTTTGTTTTGTAAAAATGACAACGGTTCATGATTTTAAGTAAATTCTCATTCAAATATATATGGTGACTAATCATAAGACAGCTAGTATTATTCTATCAAGTTGTCTTATTAGTCAACGAAATCAATGGATCAATATGTATGAATGATTCGACCCAGTGATAGAAATTCAACTGAACTAGCAAGTTATATTTATATTTCGAGTTTTCTACTGGACAAGGTAGACAGATAGGGAGACAGACGGAGATTAACCTGACTATCACTTTCCATGATGCTTACATAAATAATGCCGATGCTCATTATATTTAATAGATTATATTTTTGATACTATACACTAAACAATGGTAATCAACAGAATCACTTCCATGTTGAATTAACACTTTTCCATAGTAGTTAATATAAAAATGACTATACTGAAACGACTGATTTATGTGAACAAACTTATATTTCAGTAAGTGAAGTGTGCGGTATGATTAACTTAGTAATGAATGATCTTTCTTCTGTTTTCAAATAAAGTTATTTCTCTTTGAAATGAAGTGCCAATAAGTATCAACTCTGTAATTTTTAATTAAACAAATATTTCATTTATAAGTGAAACGCATAATCTACCCTATTGTTACTAAATAATTTTCTGAAAGTGTCCCCCGGAACCTTAAAAATGCCCAAAATAAACAACCATATAACACTTTTGGGTATATTCTGAACATCGATGCATTTATGTTCTCTCATTACCTGGTTCTTTAGACTAGTAAGAGCGTTAATAATTCAGGTATTTTCAAAAAGTCTCCACAACTCTGGTGTAACCTATAAATAACACAATAACCATTCGTTCCCGTACTTAAACAAACCATAAAGTAAATCTTAAGCCGTATTACTACCACTTCATTTGTCTATATATTAAAGTCTTTAGAGTGTTTGAAGTGATAATGTTCGCTAGTAAGTCAGTATAGTAACTGCTCAGTTTTAAAAGTTGACAATATTGAGTATGTATTATTACGGTCATCACCAAGAAACCTGATCCTTACTTATCTCTTTGATGCTCGTATTCAGATAAATTTTCATAATTATTATCATCTCCCCCATTAACGAAATCCGTTGTCAGCGTTGTTGTTTCTTTTAAAGAAACCATTGTCTGTTGAGTTCCAGTTGAATTATCTTGAACTTTATTACTTTGAAGAAATTTCGATGATACACTGGGTGATAACAGTTTTAATGCTTCAACATTTGCATTTACTGTTTTAGTATTATTCAGTTGGGTATGTTGTAATGAATTCTGTGGTAGATTTCTTTGATTACCATGGTACAAAATAACTGGACGTGATATTTTTCCATCATCAACATCTTTTTGCGTGAATAATAAATCTTTTACACTGAAATGAGTGATAGATGAATGATTAAATTTCTCACTATATTTTTTTAGAATATTTATTTTCGACGGAATCTCATTTGTCGATTGATCAATTGACCTACGTTCACTTAATAATAATGAAGATGATGGTGAACAGGAGCATGATGGAGAAGATAAAGATGACGATGACACTTTGAGTAGCGACTGACTGGTTGAGTAATGATCAGAATTACATATTGATGTATTTTCATATTTTGAGCATTTAAATAGTTCGCGTTTTTGAGTATACATTTGTAGGCCATGTATTTGATTCTCAAGGTTAGTTATCTAAAATTTGAAGTATAAAACAATTAAATGAGTTTTGTGGAGATCAGCTCAATTTGTGGGCTGTATTTATCACGGATTTGTCTCGGTTGGGTTACCATTATTTATGGCATCCTAGCTTTTAATGATATCCCAACTGATATCAGTCTATGATAAAAACATTCATAAAGAGATATAATGAACTTGGATAGAAATAATTTATCATACGACTGTTTATTTACGTTGTCGTTCCGTGAAGTTTTGTACACTGATCTATTCGTGATTTGTCAGCACAACTCCATGCAAATCAGAATGCTTAACGTTCCAGTTAATACGGTATCGATCCAGCTGCTGTGTAGAAATACAATATTCCAGATTTTCGACTTCATATCAACTAGTGATATAGTGTGATCCTTATCCTTGCACCACTGTTGAATCACTATATCACTTCCAGTGCAGTGGATGCTACTTACAAGATGGCTTGTAAGTAGTAGGTGGCAGAACATAGCCTCAAAGTTGTCACAGTCTTCGGAGAGAGTGGAAAGCCTCAGTACGTTAAAAGTGCGGCGTATGCAGAACACTTGATGACCAGACGAGAAGACGGTTTGGATTGCAGAACACATTGCCTCGATGTGCGATGTTTTGTTGTATAGGAGTAGGTTGGAAGAAAGCTAGGGCTGACCAGACCAAAACATGGCACAAGTCCATGAAGTCACTGACAAGTGAACTGATTCATGTTGGTAGATGTAGACTACCTGGTTGGGGACCGCGAGATGATAGCAACCGATGGTTAGAGACCCTGAATGACATGACTCAAAATCGTTTGCAATCGCGCAGATGCATACACTCTTTGTGTTCTCCCAAATTTTGATCTCCTTATTCCTCCTTGTCTCTTTTTTTTCTCTTACCAAATTTATTTCACTGTACTATACTCTTTAAATAACATCTCCAAACACTAATTTTCCTGATTACTGCTTATACTCTTATTACCTCTACCACTACGGGATTTGAATCGACCATTGCATCTCTGTGCTAATGTGGTGTGGCAACTCGAACTGATGTACGTACGTACGAAGTTCTACGTTGTTACTGACTGACTGACTGAAGTAGAGCGGAATTCCGGCTGAAGATCCACCAGCCTAAACCTGAGTACTTTAATCCCTAGACCACTGTCGATAAACAGTTAACTCATCAGTGTGGTTAATCAGCTTAGTTTTTCAATTAACTACTTTAATTAAAATAGTTGTAAGCAAAGAAGTAGAGCATTTATGAAGTTTTAAACTCATTATTAGTTTGATACGATCGAGTTTTGTTTCATATAGACGATCAGATAACCGTACAGAGTAGTACGAAGCCTAAAAGTACGATTTTACACAAAACAGTACAGAATACTACATTCTAGATTTCTGGTGAATTCGATGAAGGTTCACGTCATAAAAATGAATCATGGATGGTTCGTTTGGTTTTTCATCTTTCAAGAGTTTCAAGACGTCTTAGTACAACTAACGGAGTTATTACGTGATCCTATAGTCATCTAGTTAAGTGGTCAATAAACTATAATGAGAATTTTATACGCATTGAAAATAGATTTTTATCAATAACTTTGTCAGACCAAATATATTCAAACAAGATGGGATAGACAAATATACAGGACAGTGTTGAAACGGACGTAATAGTATATCACATCAGGAGATATTCATCTATTTCAATGCAGCTATATTCAAATGTATCAGGATACAACAATGAGTATGTGTCACAAGGCATTACTCGATTGAGTTCATCTAAGCAACAACCCAAGCTATTAATAATAAAATCCAACCTACTATTGATAAGTAATAGATTATGTTTAATGATTTATATTTCCGGTTGTTGATATGAAAGACTGTAATTAATCAGTCACTGTTGTTATATGTTCATTCTGATCAGGTTGACTCGATATCACCGTCTATTTGTAAGCATAAACATACTCAATACTTCGTTGGACAAAATAGACATCATGATCTCCAAACAAGTTTGTCTATTCTTGACGAACCATTTATCCTTGTTTTATTCATAATCTTCATGTCACAATAGCATGAATCGTATACACAATTATTTAGAAAATCTCCCAAGTCAATAATCATTAGAAATAGTTAATCATTTATGATTAATAAATTAATGACCATTGCAACATGATAGAATCTAAAATCACTGACTTCTTATTCACTTACAGTTTCTTGGTTACGTTTAGCAGCTAATTTGTAGGCTTTACGAGATGCTCTATTTTTTTTATTCTCATCTGCGCATTTCATATTAGCCAGCATTATATTTTTAACAGCATTCAATTCAACTTCAAGCCATGAGATAGCTTGCTGTATATCTTTAAAATTATAAGGATTACAAATTTCTTCTTTAGGGTTAATGACAGCAATGATCTTATTTGATTGGCTTGATAATGGTTGTGTTGTATTTGTTAAGACTGTTGATACTGATGACGGTGGAGATGAGGAGAACTGGGCGTCTGTGGCCGTTTCTAGTGTTGTTTTCGTGGTTGTTGTTTCAATTGTCTGACGCAGGAAGATTTCAGAATCACATAAAGATGGACTAGAGGCAGATGTATGCATATCATAATTGGATTTCACCAAATTAGTTGTAAAGCGTGACTTAAACGCTAAAGGGATTGATTGGTTCAATTTTTGCATGACAGTACTTTCTTTTGCCAACTTTTTGGTTGGTGCTATTGAATTTGTGTTATCATTATGATTATCTTTTATAGAATGAATGGAATTGTTTTGATCCTCTAAAATCTACAAATAAAATTATAGCGACAACTATTATACATACATGATTAGTCAGTAGAGTATAATGATTAAATGCATTTTTAGATAGGTCTTAGTGTTTAAGTAACTTCGACAGAATTAAGGAAACCTTCTTACGAAATACTGTAAGCAGAAGATTAAATGCAATAATGAAATAATGTTGAGATTCACATTATACACAATAAACCGTATCTATTTTGTTAAAATCAGCATCCACAAGTACAAAATTCTCCTAGTTTTATTTTTTTTAAAGGTAAGTTAAAATCCAAGCTTTGTCATAATCCAAGACAACATATAACATGTATAGATACTGACATATCAACAGCTATATTCTCAGGAAATTATATAGACGACTATAGTTTTTAATTTCTCACTAACAAGACATTTTCCATCATTAAATGATATCAGTCAGGGAACCAATGTAAACGGTTATTATTTCCTAGCTTGTGATTACTCATTATTGCGGATCTATGACTATGTACAGGATCGAATCAAACCATTCAGTTTTCGAAGAAAAAGGTCTTATATTCAGATCGCCAAGTTAGAATCCGATAATCTTTCTCCCAGGTCAGTAAATTCAGGATATGGAGTGATTCACACCAAGCATCAAATCTTATTCCCACAACACTGGTATGATTATTTATCGGACCGAATAGTCATGGGTAAAAAGATTTTTGTTTATTTATCAAAAATTTAGGTAACTTTATTAAAATCTCATTGAAAATTAGTGTTTACACTGAACATACAAAATTATGTCTGCTAACGTAATACCCTTTTACATCGGGAATACCTATTTGTTAATCTATTAGTATGATACAATTGAGTATGAATACTGTCCAAATATACTACTTTTTGTTATCAATATTCACCTAAGAAATGACATATCATTTGACTGAAAACAGCAATACTAATCAATATCCGTTGCTTTAAATACTGTGATATTGTAGTGGATTTCTGGTGACTGAATCAAATAATAATGTTAACCTATCTTAACAAATATCTTATTGTTTATTTAGCGGTTAGTATGACCTAAATGTAACTGATATCGATAAGCTTAATTAATGTTTATGATAGTTAGCCATCTCTTTTTTATACTTATTTAACAATGATAAAAATCATCACTGTAAATAACTTTATCGAAGTAAAATCTTTTCTGCAGCGTAGTTTTAATTCTTCTTACTTGACTTGAATTATCTTCATCACAAGGCATAGATTGTCCATGATGTTGATTGCATAAATCTTCTATAAACAATGATGAATGACTAGTTTTCAAGAGACAGTTAACTGATGATGAAAGTTTTATACTAGCTTTACGCATTATCCTTGGTGATAACATGAAACTTGTTTCCTGTAGTCGACTTCCACGCACAGGAATGAAATTTGTTGATTTAGCATGACGACCTAAGAAAAACAATAAAAATCAGTGAGTAGAAAAGAAGTGAAAATCAAATTGCTGGAACCGAATTATAAAAAGATACGAAGAGAAGAACTAATATTTTCTTGAGATTACAATATAATAATATCATGATTGACAGTAAGCTCAAAGACCTATCTTCAAATAATTCAATAAAGTGTATTGATTGAGATTATGAACCGATCAATGTTAGATTACCAGTGAAAACATGGAAGGACTGGATGGTTGTTTCATCATAGTGTAGGACTACTCAGTAGTGCACATCTGCGATCCCACACGCGTATTGTACTTATTATAAGTGAATAATTATTTATAGTACCCACAAGTACTCAACCACTTTTACAAGTGACTGACAAAATATTATCATTTTCAACACTACAAAATTCAAGTTGAACCATCACGTTGGTCAATTCATCATACTTCTCGTCTGTCGTTTGGAGAAATTATGAATGTTTATAGTAAGATTTATGCATTAAATAGATTTTGTGCTGAAAGAAATACCATCGAAGTGAGACTGATCGTAGACATTTGGAGGTGAAGAGAAATAGTGGCCAGGTACTGAAATGAGACATGTATTAAATAAAGTGATAATCGCTGTCAAGTAGAAATAGTATTCTTTATGAAATTCAGTTGGAGATTTCCTTTTACCACAGTTTTGAAAGACCAATGTGTAAGGTTAGTTGAAAGTTTTAGTTTTAAAATATATCAGTAACGCATTATGTAAATGAGATATTTGTTGGGTAGATCCAGAATATTCCTCAACAAAAGCCCAGATGGGCCCTGAAAACGCTGGGAAACATTTTATCCAATCAGCATTCGATAGAAGCTTCGCAAAAATACCTAAAAAATGAAGAGTCACGTGTCACATTCCCGATTGGATGAATACATACCCTGTTACTATCTTCGGAAGGGTTCCAGAATCTTTCAGAGACCCAAGGCCATCTGAAATACTATAAATACCCTTGACTTTCTGTACACAAGCTAACCTTAGTGTTAAGCGTTCTTTCCAAATTTCGGGCCTTTTCTCTCGAGTTCAAGTTGTCGTGTAGATTTATTCTGGGGTTATTAGAAGAGGAAACCGGTTCAAGCATTCAGTCAGAAGATTTATGAATATTACAACTATGACTTGTTAAAAGTAACTAAGATTTTTATCTTTAATGAAAGACTTCTATAATCAAAGTTACAAATGCTATTTAACTTTGTACCACTTTAATACGATAATTGTTCAATAAACAAAATAAAAAAACTTAAATAATCCTATTGTTATGTTTTAAAAAGGAAACACAAAACTCGTAATGTTCATAATTATCATGAAGCAATAACCATTTTCTTTGGAATAGTTATATTTATCAACATAACCTTATGGGAATTATATAAAATCATAAGTAATTTTAGAAGTTAATAAATGCCACTTACTGGTTAGAATATTAAACAAAACTTTACTTTTAGTTTAATAATTAGTTTAATATTTAGTTGGACGGATTTACGAAAATCTATTTTATTTTAAAAGGAAAAAAAGACTAATCCATAGACAAAATTGAGTATGAATCATACTGTGTTATCAACCGAATGGAGCTGAAAATTATGAACAATTGGATTTTCGCTAGATGGTCAATTTGTATTGAGACTCCCTCGAAGTTTTTAAGTTCTAGGTTCCATCCTATATGCGATAAAGTGCGGATAGTCATGAATGGTTACAAACATGGACTGACTTATTGTCTAATGATCTCTCAATTTCCAAGAACCTCCAAATGAAACCATTTCAGGTTAAAAATTATCTGTGAACAATTTGATAAGTCATCTAAGATAGAATCCAATAAAACCAATTTGCGATTATTACATTTACCATTAATCGTGAAAACTGATGATAGATTCTTAAGGATAAATTTGCCTAATTTCATTTATTATGTTGTCATTTTGTAATAGTCTAAACGAATGATGTTTCCAAGCCCAATAAAAACTTGGATTTCCGAAAATCTCAATAAAATTTACAATCTATTAACAAACTATAATGGACGCATGAATAATCGAGATTTAGTAGTATGTGTGGTGACGTTGATTATAACAGGAAAAAGAAAAGATCCTCTCCGATTAAGGATCTTCAGTTAGTTGAACGGTCTAACAAAATAAATTAATTTTTTTACGAAACTTAGGTTAAAATGTCTTGTAGTGATCTCAGATGATATAGGAATTATATTAATTCCTTAAATGTTCTGAAGTCCTACTTTAAACTGTGTAGTGTAAAATAATTTAGATATATCACAATTGATCGAATAGGTTTATAATTGTAGCAGAAAGATATATCTTGTAATTGAATGTAATAGAAACGTCCGTTAATTGATGCATTATATTCTTCCATTCAAACCGAAGTTTATGTTATGACAATACTGTTGTTACTCAGGTGGAAAGATTCCAGTTACTAGAAATGAACTAAAACCCATGAAAAGGTTATGTTAGACGAACGGTTTCCTAGATTATTTAATCATTTTTTAACATTCAATTTATCATCAAGATACATGACTAACATATATAATAAACTATTTATTTACGAAAGTATAAGGGGGAACTGACCAAAATAGATACCGTGGTATCAGTTAGTTACTTTATGTGATCGTTGAATGTGACTGTTCCGAATGAGATCCTATATGGAGTTATGGGTTCATCGTCCTCAAACGTTGAAATCAGAACGGATCAACTTTATATTCTACCCTGATTTCCGAAGTCTATACAGATGATATCAGTTCATAATCACAATTACTTGCAATTATCTCATTTCTCTGTCACTAATGTGTTCATTTTGATTAGAATCACAGTTCACCAACAAGCATATTCTTATATAATAGACCATTTTTGGCATATTAAAAAGTTTGACATTATTCGTTTTATGAACAATAAAAGTTATTTTCGTAGAAAATATGAAGGGCAGTCATATGATCAGAATGTTTTACGTACTTTTATTTACTTCATGATACCCCTTCATGAAAAAAAACGAACCTCTATATCTTACATTGTTATAAATTGACTGTAGTGGATAACGACCAATATAAACAATCAATTTTGTCGATCACGTGTTATGTAGTGAATAAATAAAATGGTATGCTTTACTCCCATTGTTTTTTGTACTTTTCAATATATAAATATACATAAATAAGTAAAAACGCCATCAACATTGGGTGCATTCATTAACGATTATGATAGCAAGATAGACATGTTAAATCATTTTTGAAGTTACTTTAACTGAACCGTGTCAAATGTTAGAAATCCAGTTTTCTACTCATGAGATACGAAAATATATAGTATTACTATTTTAGTATTGTGATAGAACGACTTAATTTTTGACTAAATGGATTGTTGTGAGAGTAGTTCAGTATTGAAGAAGATATCAGCTGGACATTCGGTGAAAACTAGGGTATATTGAACCGTTGTCCATGATAATAGCCATCCAAACAAACTATTGTCATCAGAAAAAGGCTTATCAAACAATAACAATATATCTACTTGTAGTTAGCTTCTAGATAAATTCACGGAGGCTTTAGTCAGTAGATAACATGATAACTGACGATAGGTAAGATTCATAAAATGTATTCCATCTAATATGAATGTGTCTGTATCTGTCTAAAATTTATTGATAATCACTACTGATGTCAGTTAACTTCAAACAATATGTATATACAGGGAGAGAGAGGGAGGAGAATGGCTTCGATGACAAAAAAATTATTAATTCTTCTATTTACCTTTATTTTTTAGCCGCAAACCCGAATCATTATTCGTGATCATATCATAAATCTGATCGGATAAATCATCCCCATGTATTTTTTTGAATGCTTCCAATGCTTCATAATAAGCATGTGTATGCTGTAAATAATTTGCTGGTGGATATCCAGTCAACTCCTTCATATGCATATACAAAGATATTAAAAAAAGAAACTAGGATGTAATACAATGCAAATAAACTTAAAAATAAAATAAAATAGGTCATTATTCTACCGGATAATACTGTGATAAGGTTGTTCAATGATTTATTTGAACAATAAACAACACGGAATATAGGATTCCTCAGCAGTGCGCATCCACGATTCCGCATGCGGGACTAGAACCCAGGACCTTCGGCCTCGCGCTCATACGCCTAACATCTAGATCACTGATACGGCCGTCCAATTCTCCCAGGTTTTCAATGGTGGTCTAACATTGATCCATTCATGATATCAATCTAAACCCAACAATCTCCACAACCCTATACAGATAATACAAAATATATTGTAGCAATTAAAAATGTGCACAAACAGTTACTCAAGCGTTGGTAAACTACGAAATCAGTATCTACGTTCCCCATTAAATTTTATGCTACAGTTTCGAAATACTTATTTGGTTTGGAAAGTATTTTTAAATGTATTAGTCGTAAAATTGGAATGGAACAATGAATAATGGTATCATTTTGACTTAATAAACACTGTTATTAGTATTACTAGCCTGAAATTGTCTAATCTAAATTTTGTAGTCAACACTTTGAAAACACGTCAATAGTTTGGAAATCAGTTATAATAAACTGATGGTTCTATAAAAAATGAAGGAAGGGCACTTTCTAGAAATTTCAAATAACAGCAGAATAAAGTGACTTCAATAACATTTACTTACAAGATAGTATGTAATTTAACATAAGAATAAAACAATGAATCATTCTTCAGAGATCAAAATAACAGTTATATCTTACTTCGACCAACAAAGTTTTCAGCACTCTATGTTTTACTCCATCGGGCATGGTCAGTTGATATAAGCGGTCGTTAGTTAAATATAATGTATATAAAAATTACTTCACTGATATGAACTTAATAACTATAGGTCATGTATGCACCTTCGGAAGTTTCAACTTAGAATGAAACAGTTTTCTATTGCTTTTCAGCTAACTAGTGAACATTCAATTGATGACTTATTGTGACATATATAGTCTGTTAGTTTTTTGATGTTTATTGGTGGAAAATGTTATCTGTTAAGTGATACCAATGTAGATGTTATTTTGTTAGATACTATAATCATAAAAGCGTTTATCTGAGAAAACTCGATTCCTTTAGGAAATTGTCCAACTTACACCATTCTCAAATAAAAACGACAATTACTTCAAGTAGATGATAGATATTTTGTTTATAAAATTAATACAACAGTCTATGACAAGTCATTTTAAGTTCTGTATGTACAATCTTCATAATTAAGTCCGTAAAGTAAATTACTTGTAGCAAACATTATCTATCATTTGTTATTAATAATTTTTTTTGGTTCCAAATTTTAAAAGTGGCTAGGCTTCTATAGATTTCTTTGGTCAGTATGATGCCTTAAGTTACTCAACATTGGTTTATATTATTACTTGATCGGAGACTGAAATATGATACGATTAATTTTTTTCTTGATGTTTTTCTACATTGAAATAAAACTAGTAGGCATATTCCTGTCTTTAAGTTAACATTTAAATTTTATTGTTCTCAGCTGTCCATCTCAATAGTAGCATGTTCGTAGAACTATGCGGCCTCTGTTTTACCACACGAATCTTTTCATCAACACAGATTTTCACCAATGAACACATAATGTAGCATAAATAACAAGCGAAAACACAATACACACTTTATACACTTTTTAGCAGCTCGAGAAAAAATAATGGAACTTTTTCACTTATTCATGTTCATTTCATGATGTACTTTTATTTTAAAAGTGGCACTTACGTGTTAATTATAATCACTTTATAAATATATGTGCTTAAATATACTAATTGATTATAGATCTAAGTATAAGTTGTTGTTACGTGAAATAACTTGCTTGTTATACAAATGAGTTTCAAACTCCCAGTGTTTATATAGAGTATATTTGTTACATGTTAAGAGTGTAGTTTGTTTAATAAATTAGTAGATTGCAATATTGTACTGAGTACTGAATTCAAAAAATGGATTCTGACTAGGTATGTAGAAAAGTATTAATATTATGTATTCTGAGAGCGTGGTCATGGTAGGGTTGATAGTTGAATGGAATACCTCAGGCGGAAACTATAAGCGCCTCACAAAATTAGTCAATCTTTTCTTACATGAAACATTTGTGGTAGATTAGGTATATTACATAAAATCATTATATTTTGATATTTCCGTCTTGCTAAAATAAAAGTCTGTCAGATTACAACGAGAGTGAAGTGAGCATAATTTAGTTTCCTGTGCGATGATACACAAGCCATGCAATACCCAATCAAACAGTTGACAATTAGTGTCTGTAGGTATGACATGTGCTTTGCACCTTCTAAGTAAGAACTAATTTTATAAGACTGGAAAGATCTTGTGCTTCCACTCACTCGTAGTAGCCAGAAGATGGGAGCAGTCGAAGAGTCTGTGTATCTGAGTAGCTGTTTAAGTGTTGATGGTGGCGTGTGTGATGAGATCAATTCATGCATAGTGAAAGCCAGAATGGCTTATGTCAATCTGGGCTATCTTTGGCGCCTTTGTGATGTTAGTCCGGTCGAAAACTGTCAGATCTACAACGCATCGGTGAGAGTAGTTTCGCTCCATGCTTGTGAAACCTGCTTCTCTTGGCTGAGAATGCCAGACAACTCTCTGTGTTTGATCATCGTTGTCTCGAAAGGATTACTGACATTAAATGACAATACGATGCTACTAATTCCGAGGTTCGACAAGATGTGTTCGGCCAAAGCAATAATGATTCATTTGGTGACACCGTTTCAAAACACCGGCTTCGGTGTGTTGTACATGTAATACGAATGTCGTTCCAGAGAATTCCACATCGTGCTTTATTTACAGACGCTAGAACTGGTTGGAAAAGCGGAGAGTTGGTCAGTGTATGATATGATGTGTTTGTATGACGGTAAGCTGTTGGTCGTTCATAATTCTGTTATTGGAGTCTTAGAGATGGTGTCACATAGTGTCTTGAGACGTTACCAGACATAACTCAAAGTATAAACCTGTGGTGATCTCTCTGTGACCTTCTTTTACTTTCTTTATAAAAGTGAGAGTAACTTCTTTAACTGAAAAAATCCTTTCTGATTGTATTTTTCTTAACTGAACTGATTCTACCACTATTATTGTTCTTTCACTTTCATACACTAACTTCTGCCCCATTTTGTTATTTTTTTTATCATACTCACCTTCACTTCGCCATCTCTTTACAACTTCATGTTTATGTTGTGACGCATATATTTTTGGTATCCCTTTGAACCAATGTTTATTTGTTCAAATAAATAGTAAATAAAATACAGTGTGAGTCATCAAAAATCACTAAATTCTGAAGAACTGCAAGCTAATCATCCTAAGACATTTACATTTCAAGTGGTGGTATAAAAACAATTGTCTTCCATAATTTTTTGGTAAGCTGATACTCGACCTTTATCCATAAGTACAAAACGATAATATTATTAACATGTTAAAAAAGACCGTAGACATTCATATTAAAACATCCAGATACTAAAAACAGTGTGATTTTGAGCCCTATTAGAGTTATGAGAGTGACTGTTACTTTTTGTTGCTCATACAATGGGAGGACGCTTGTTTTTGAGAGGGCTGAAGACCAAACTGGGTTAATTGTAGATTTGAAAGCATGGAAGCGTGACCATCGAGCTCAAGAAACAACTGCTTAGGGCTGGTCACATACGTCCTTTTTAGCAGGATTTTATAAGCTAGCTCCATACTTTTAAGGCCTTATCTCCGGGTGCACAGATGCCTGGGGGAATGGCGAGGCGGGCTGATTTTAAGGCTGATTTACTCTAGATCCTTCCTTGGTTGTGAAGAAGTAGCACTGCTACAAATTCTCGTCATCTGAAGTAACAACCCTACTGCTATCATATCTTTAGATAGTTGTCAGTGTGACTTCACCCTCGTACCTTGGATTTGCTGCTTTTAGTTTCATCATTCTCCAACTGACCTGTCTGATGTGCTACAACCTGAAGGAACGAGCGTTGTACTTAATATAACTTGACTAGATTATTGGGACATAAAAACCCGTTCACCACGTCAAGAGAGCAGCTATAGTTGGGAAAAAGGACACTGTGTAGGCTGAATTGTATCGAGGATTAAGGTACAATTGAAATTGCATAAAATAATCAGTCATTCATAAAAAATGTAGATACTTGAAACGGATGTGCACTAACTCAAGATATTAAATTTTGTACCGACATAGTAAAAAGAGATAAATAAAATTAACTCAGTCTCATATTATCTAGCACAGTTTGGACTAGAATGATTGTGACTACTAGTGTACCACATGTTTATATCTAAGTGTTTAGTATTTTTTTATCTTACTTTAAACTAGCCCTTTCATTTCCAAAACAGAACTGTTCATTTGTTAAATTTTATATTCCTTGTCCACTCGTATACAAATTTGTCTGTTTACACGTAGTGTGAAAAATATTACACATGAAATCAGTAACCTGTTTATTGGAGTTTTGTTCATATATATGATGTATATTTAAGTTAAATTATGACAAAGAAATTACATTTTAAAATAAATACTGTTTATTACTGATCTGCATGTTTAGATTCTATAAATGCTACAAATGGATTATCTCTAAGATCATGATTATTATTACTGTTATTATTATTATTATATTCACCAAATGTTGTAAAGAAATGAGAAAAATAAGTAAATCAAACTTGGACAATTATTGATTACTAATGAGTTCTTGTACATATACTCCTAAATATATGTTCCATTTAGATATATTTTCATAAGTGGGATGTATTTCATTATCCAAAATAAAGTGGTTATCAATTAACTACAAATTTGTTAATTAATTTTCTGCAGGAAATGTCATAGGTGTATACTTGTTAAAATTTATGGATTATTCTATACTCGACTCATATATCTATCTTAGATAATTATAAAAGTGTTTGTGGTCACTCATTTTATTTTTTTTACTATTCTGATTGAAGATTAAAAGACTATAAGATAATTCAGTAAAAATGGTTAAGTACAATAGGAGACACGATATAAAGTTATCACAGAAAAAACAACGAAAATACATTGATAATCACTCTTAACTAGTGATATGTCAAAGGTTTTTGTTTAATACTTTAATATAGTGAATAATAATAAAAAACATATTTTATTTACTTTGAAGAAGTGGTTTATATTAAGCTACGAAACGCCAGAAATACATTTTTCTACTCATTGGGACATAACAATAATTTGTTTATTATTAACTCACTACCCAATGTTCAGTTTATTTGAAACTATCAAATTCAACCTTGGTATGGATACCTATATTAATAATATTCTAGTAGACCGCATACTAACTGCTTAAGGAAAATCTGTTTGTGATGAAATCCATCGTGAGGTTGATTATTGAGGTGAATCGATTATCAGCTTTGACTAGAGAAGTTTTTCATGGGTCATCATTAAAATGTATAGGTTTCTTTGGACCTGTTATATTTTCTACGATGAGTAACGTTTTTAAATCGTGTTATGTAAATCGTCTCAGGCAACAAGTTGATTACGGTTAAAAAAACCCAGCTACTTGATAACAGTTAGTTGGTTAAATAACTAGTCTGGTGACCACAGAATTTAACATAATTAAGTTTATTCCTTAAACAGGTGTTCGTTACACACTGATAAAGATTATAAAGTAGAGCAAAGCAAATATTCAGTAAGTAACTGACCAACATAAATTTTTAACTGGAACTATCTTTTTATCTCCTACACCCAAACCACTTAGTTAATAGATAATATTTTACCAGATATGTGCCTGATGACTTCCATTTTTTACTTAAAAATTAATTTTATCAGAAGAGGTCTGTGGAGATTTTAGAAATTTCACTGATTGAAATCATGAGTCAATTGAAGATAGATCACCATAGAAAACCTGGAAGCACTGGAAAATTTCTAAAATCTCCACAAACCCCTTCTGATAATAATCATCTGCTCACTAGTGACTGACTTCAAGAGATACTCCTGGAGTTCTAGTGAGAAGCCGTTACCAGTGGAGTTCGACCAGGTCTGTTGTGAGATATCAGCTCACTGAAGACGATGGTGTACGCTGGCGCAACTTAGTCAAAAATTAATTACCATATTTATAAAATTCATCACATATGGCGGACACATTAAACAGATTATTCATTAGTTGACAGGGACTCTAGTGATGAGCAAATTTATCAATAGCTATTGCACAAGTAATAGGAATTTTATTAATATTAAAATTCTTCTAGAAATCATTTAAATATATGAAAATATCTAAACTCAATAGAAGGGAAGTAGGTTTTTGAGTGACATGGATAATTTCTTACGTTATATTAGCAAATCTTACTCCTAATATCAAGGTAGCAACATTGGAAAGTTAGTTTTTTCGATTCATTTGGATAATTATTATTTCCAGAATATATTACTATTATAGTTGAGGTAGGTTTTGAAAATCACTGGTTCCACCTGGTGAGCCTTCTGAGACTGGAATTCTCCACTGGTCCACTAGTAGCAATTAGTCCGTGACGAAATAATATCTCGTATTTGTCTTGTTTGTTGCTTAATAATACTATGAAACAGTCAGAAATTGACAGTAGTGAAAATTAGATGTCAGATAGGCAAAAACCTCGTGTCTAGTTAAATTATTATCTACAAAGTTGGGGTGTATATATGGATTATTCATTAAGTGTAAGCAGTTGGGAAAAACTGTTGTCTTTGATTCTGACAGCATAATAACGGTTAACATTCGAAACTAAAGTTTAATACTGCTTATCAGTGATGAAATGTTTTCATGTAATAAAAACGTTGACCAATTATATTCTTTGGACAAATGTATACTATCATTATTATAGGGACTGGTGATACCAAAGTTAACATAATTAACAAATAGTAAATTTAAGCACGAAATCACAGTAGTTAGGCATAGTAAACGTCTTTTCTGCAACCGTTAGCATAAGATTTTTTCCTGAAGATCAATCACAAAGTTTACCAAAATTTCCCTTTTGCATTTTTTCAATATCGCTCATGTAATGAGTATTTAGTTCATTCTTGGATTTGATTTAAAAACCAACCTAAAGATAAAATATTAAATTATCAGGGTATAGAATAGTTAATTTTATTTTGTTTTCTTATACGACCCTCACATATGACACCGTACGGAGTGGAGACTGGATAGATGGTATCGTGAAATCCTCATACTCTGGAAATTGTTTTAAGCAAGGAGCAACTAATGCTAAACAACGTCATACAGTAATGGGTTCACTGGTTCCTTGAACCATATTCATGGAGTTAAGGCAAACTAACACATAGCAATACGATGAAAATATACTTATGTCAGTCGCTTTATACTGTCAGCTAACCACTTTGCTGTTTTATGCAGGTCTGGTAGTGATAATTTCTTAAACTGCATAAAAATCCTTGTTGCTCTCTAGACTTCTAAATTTGCTGACACGGTGACTCGATCGTATCTCAGAAACACAATGCAGCTAAGTCTCCATGATTATTTCTTCAGTCCAGGTTGTCATATAATAACCACAAAACAAGTCAAAATTAACGAGATTTATAGCGAAAGAGTAAAAATGTAGTAGTATTCATGATAGTGAAAAATGTTAAACATTGATGGGGACGGTACAAAAAGAAGGTAAACTTTATCGTTTAGGATTGATCAGATCTCAAAAGAATAGAATAACGATACATAAAATGAAGTATTTTACATTACAACTTTTGGAGGGTCACCAAGGTATTATAATGTAAATAAAATTCTATATGGCAGTCTTGATTTGGGATATTAATACTAGTTGTTAAAATTACTTCTCAGACAATGTCCATACAACAAATAACAAAAATATAATTTTGACAATTGCCAACTGCTCTCAGCCGAAAGTCGGTACATACACACATTTGTGACAGTATTATAAACTGATACTTTATAAATTACGTCCAATTTACAATAATTTTACAAACACCTGATTAGTTCTTTTTATCCTTATAACTTTAAAATGTAGGTTGATTAGGAAATCTACAAGGAAGTGTTATTTAAATGAAATAGTATGATCAATATGCTGCAAATTTCACTAGTCAAGGTCCTAATCTACGAAGAAGTCTAATAACGCATGGTATTTTTACGATTTATCACTTGAGTGATTTAACTTTCATCTATGTCTCAAGTAAACATTTCACTCATAAATAACAATTGTTAAGAGCTTACATATCAAGGATGATATTTAAAAATACGAGTAATAAAAAATAAACACTGCTATGATTATAATTATATCAAAAACCTGATCATGGATATAGTTTTATGTTAGATTAATGTTTAGTAGTAATTCAGATTCGAACTGCGTCACAAGGCAAGCCCTCACATGGAATCCTCAAGGCCAAAGAGGAGGACCAAAGAACACATTACGCCGAGAAATGGAGACAGACATGGGAGAGATAAACAAAATTGGACAGAACTGGAAAGGAAGGCCCAGGACAGAATGGCTTGGAGAATGCTGGTCGGCGGTCTATGATCCATTTGGAGTAACAAGCGTAAGTCAGTAAGTGAGTAAGTAATTCAACTTAGATTTCTTTACAGTGATGTAGAGATAGATCAAAAGGATGTTGGAATCATTTCAGCATGAAGTCACGAGTGCACTCAATTTAGGATTTCAAAACAAGACCAAAATAGTTGCCTAACTCTGACTAGTATACAACGGTATTATAATTATAGTCATCGCTAGCTAGCTGTTACCTTTAATATACAAGAAAACTTCTACAAAACGACCTAATATATTAGTCTAGACTTCTGAAAAATGTATTTATTGATCTTAACTGGTTTTAATTACATTAATTAACGGAATAATTTTTACCTAAATAATTAATAAAAGAATTAATTATCTTTATTTATTATGATTCTTATTAATTCTATTCACTTGTAAAATAGATTTTTTGTTTCTATATTATGATATTTTTAATGAGAGATTATTTTCATAGTTGGCAAGATAATCCAAATAAAATCAAAAATCATTTGAAAGGGGATTTTATATTCAGTTTAAAATTCATTATCAATAAACTGAATGAGAAAATGCGAGAAATGAATTTGAAGTCAACTAGAGAGTAATGAATGAAAAGGTTATTAATTTAGAATGAGTTGACGGTCCGGAACTTCTTTATTATCAGTGTTTCTTTAATTTCTAATCTAAAACGAAGGGTATCTTCAAGACAGTCAGTTGTTTACAAACCAATTGGTTGCAGGCGATTCTTTTGCTTAGATATCCAATAATTTATCATTAGTTGTAAAAGACACCCTTCTGTACAAATTTTCCCCTCATATTAAAGTATGACAATGGATGAAATGATTGCAAGGATTTTCCACTACTACTTTAACATTTTAAGGTATAAATATCCAATAACTTTATTTATAAGTAATTTTTTAATCCGTAGATAAAGATGTACACCGAGTTTAAATCATATTACAAACTGAACGTGTTCTGGCACAACTGATCATTGGTAGTCAGCTTCCATTCTTGAAATACTTCTCCGTGGATATGCGTCTACTGCACTTTTCAAGGAACCTTTCACTGACTTCACATGGCCATGGTTTTCATACGAATCGGAGGTAAGCGTGGTACTTTTAGTTAGAGTTAGTGTATACGGTAGGTTTACCTAGTGGGTTGAAATAACTGCCATTTTAAAGAAATTATAGTACACTGTCTATACGGTTTGAAATAACGAATGGCGCATGAAGTCAGTCTGGTCATTGCTTATCATGAAACAACAACAAAGTTAGGGTCAAAGGCTCATTGATGGTCCCATGAGAAAACCACATGTGTGGACATTTAGGAGGTATCACACCTCTCACAAAAATCACGATCATTAACAAAGAAGGAAATAAAGATTTCGAAATACTCGTTTTAAGTGCTTATCCTTACAGATTTTATAATCCGTGAATTTACTGTACATAATGTTACATTTGATTGTGGATTCAATTTAGGATGGTTTATACTATTTTCATTCATTTTGATCTTGGTTTAATTCCATGCCTCAGCTCTATCGAGATTTCCACTCCGTTCTAACGGTTTTAAGTTTTTAATGGCCCCGAAACCTGGTGTTTAGAGTGTATTATAACATTGTTAAAAGGGTTGACAATGGCACAAAATTGTACCAAATGGTCCTAATGTTAATAAGGCAATCCTGGAGGTGGTTAGCTCGTCAATTAATGGTATTCGAAGACATGTCGAACACTAAGTGAGGCTTCTCGAAGGAAAGCCGAACTGCTCCAGTAAGAGATTGGGAACATCGAGTTGAAAACATGAGAATGAACTCAACTTGTCATGCAACACCAACGCGACTAGGTGAAACTAGTAAGATGAATGCTTAAGTATTACAATTAATAACAGTGGAAGTATTGATGGCGCAGGAGATTAGAGGTTATCAATAATCTCAAAACTCAAGAGATAGTGAGGGAATCCTTCTACTTCACTGCTACTGACTTTGAGTTCGAACTTCTCCTCTAGAAACTTTAATCAAACTGTTGATCAATTGAGAATCCACATAACCATATGTAAGTTCTGCTTTATAAATTTGATCACTGCCACTTTCCTTTAGATGATCGAGGAATATTAGTAGCCTATCATCTAGATTCATTATTTCATTCATTGAGATTTTCTGTCACACGTTCTATTTTCACTTCAGATTTTCAATGTACAAGTGAGTGATGCCACTTCATGGTGGAGAAGATAAATCGAACAATCAAATACCGTGTGAGAAAACGAAAATTATATGCCAACTGTACAGACTGACTTAAAATTAAACACGTTTGGAAAACAACTTTTGTACATAG